GGATATCGAGCGAGAGTGATATCGAGTGTGTTGACAAATTTACAATTGTACGTGGAATCTCAAATTCCGGCATGGCATCGACTTTTACTCGTCCACGTACATACGTACGTTTCATAAAAGGAAATATCTACGTGGAAAAAGCTTTGTGGTCGTGCTGGAATGCGAGACGCCGTGTATGCAACATAAAAGTGAAAGCCCTCTGAAACTCGATAATTAAAAGTGATGGCCCTCTCGTTTACGAATTTTGATAAAAAAAAATGTGCGAACGTTTGCGCAATATATTAAATTCCCTGAGTTTCAAATTCTTCCGCGGTGATTATATTTTACTCGTTTTAAGAGTGATTTTAAATTCGTTGATTTTTTTCGTCGCGCTCCATTTTCAGTGTATGAATTTGAGAGAAAATATAACGCATTTTGACTCCTTCTTTGACTTCTTCTTTTTAGGACCGCTATAAGTCATAATATTCTGTGAAAAATACTATTATTTAGAAACTATCTGTATATAATAATTTAATACGAAGCTTTTATACTACATAAAAATGTTCTTCATCAGGTTTCGCCGTTTCAATAGTTTCTTAACAGAACTTTGCATTTACTTCATTAAGAGATTAGTTTAGTTTTTCATCTTCACTTTTTGAACCCTTTCAGTAAGATACAGTTAATGATGTTTAAACTTTTCTAATTGCCATCCGAACTTTATATTGGAGAAAAACTGGGGGAGTCTTTAATTAAACTTTCTAAAAGAAGACGAAATACCTTGAGTTAAGATTAGCGCATGAAAACTCGGTCAAGTAATTAACCATTCAAAAAAATCTGTGTCAGAGAATTTGTATTCTTAATTTGAATACTACATCTTTCATCCATTATGAATTATCAATGGAAATTATACAGAGAATTTATCTGCATATTTGAATCCATATTTTTCTATCGCAACTTTAGAATTGAATTCGGTTAATTTTCATATTGAAAATCTAAATCTGTATACCGTTGTTGTTTTTTTTATTTTTTTTTTATTTTTATTAAGTATTGTCATATCGAGAGTATAATAGGAATTAAAATTTTCATTCTTGTTTTTCTAAAATGCTGCTGTTTTTGATCAAGTTTTCTAAGCGGGTACTGCTTACTAATGAATGCATCAGCCGACCAAATTCATGCACTCGTTCGTATGTCGCACGGTAGTATAGCATCCTGTCAGGCAGCTTTCAGAAAACGACATCACAATGGCGAAGGCGTAGGCACGAACGTGTTCGCATATCGTCGCTGCAGGACCACCCCGCCTGCTCTATCCTCGTTTCTTTTTGAATCCGACAGAAGGAGTCCGTTGGATACGGAACATGTGTTTCTCTCGAATCACCGGACATCTGAATACAATGTCGACGGGACATAAATTTTTTATCATAAATTAAAAGGCAGCGAGAGAGCGCGCCCACCTCTCTCAGTCGCCCCGACGTGTACTCAAGAAATAATTGTCATCCGAGAAGACCCACCTATCTTTCTTCTTCTGTCCACGTCACCTGTACTCTCGCTGTCTTTCTCGCGCCTTCTTTTTAACATAGAATGAACGATGTATTGCAAAGAACGTCCCTTTACCTCTGTCCACTTCTTTGCTTCTCCCTCTTATGGTACTTCGACCCCTCTGCCTTCTCTTTTATCATAGATGTAGCGGCCGGGTGTTCTTTGCTCTTCAAGATGTGACTCCGCTTTAATTTATGCCGCTTAGGCGCCACTAATTAATGCTACCAACTTCCAGTCGCTCCTCGAGCAGGTAGACACCTTCACTTGAGGGTGTTGTGCAGACACACCGGTGTCATTATTTTCAAGCACGTTACAATGTGTTCCTTAAACTTGTAATTTGTTTGTAATGCTTATTTAACATGTGAATGCTAAAAATGTTTAGAATAATTTGAAAATTATTAAACACTTGTTTTGCAAATTAAGTTTGAAGGATCTAAATAATAATATAATATAACAATGTAATTTATTCTTAATTATTTTTTACTTTTGAATAGGATTATTTATTTTAAGTTTTGAAACATGTGCATATACATATAAAATTATAAAATTTTCAGATACATATGTTAAATTTTGGGAATAAAAATTGGGAAAGCAATAATACTATGCGTTTTTCATTGCGAGCATTTGGCATTTGCACCTGTTGCCACAATATGATTCAAAACTAATCACTCCATTAAACACGATCGTTATATTAAAGTTGAAACGTTGAAATGTTCTAGTTACATTACTATTTTTCGTATAGTAATAATATTATTATAAAAATGTGAACTTTTTTATATCGCATTTACAACATTTCCTGAAATTGTATAATTACGAAATGTTGCTCAAATGGGATTAGGCTGAGTGTTCGAATAAATATGTTTATCGTATAAATATTCGTTGATATAGAAACGGAATTTCGATGCGCTACGCGTGGAATAAAATTTTTCTCTTCGACGCGATCTGCATTTCGCGAATCGCAACATAAACGCGTCGACCGTAGAGTGCGCGAATCCACTATTTCCCACCGTTTTTTGACACACCGCTGAAATTCTCGCCGAAAAAATCGAATTTTTTTTTCTCAGCTCTTTCCGCTTCTGTTATTTGATTCACACCGCGTGATGTGGTCGTTTTCGGTGGTGGAGAAGGCGTCAGGACCAAATCCGAGCGCGCGTGTACTATGCTTTATTACAATAACTTCCTCTGGAAATGGGTATATATGGAGACTGGCAGGCGAGCTAAATTCATGAGGAAAAATTCTACGCACCGTCGTCTCCCCCCCTCTTGGGAAACATGTAACGCGGCGCCAGTGTTATGAGAGTCGAGTTTGAGATGGCAAAACAGAATTTTTCCCCGTCCGCGACAGAAGATTTTATGAAACGTCTTAAGGTAAATAGTTCAGCGTACAAGCTTATGCGTGAATCTAACGGGGATGAAAGTTCTATCTGAGAGCATTGTCACGTTCTGTTATTTACCATCATTTTTACCATTTTTATCATCATTGCGTTTCCTTCAGTTACATCTACATAGTAATAATTCTTAAAGTCTTCTCGCGAGATAAAACTCGAAAAAGTATCTATTTTTTTGTGTACTGATTGTTAATGAATGGTGTCGGCAAATCTTGCAAAAGAGAAATGATATAAGAAAAATCCGATTTCTGAATTTTATATATTAATAAACTGAAAGGATTTTTTAATATTAATTAGGCTACGTCAGAATTAAAAAGTGACTCTTTAATTATTTCATCAAGATTAGTTCTTATTTTATAATTATTTTTTTATTTCTTTCTTTTGAGAGATAGGAAAAAAAATAAAACTGTATAAATAATATAATAAAATATTCAAATTAGCTTATGATATGTCGTAAAAATTTTGAATCAACGATCAAGTATCAGTAGCAAAATGGGAAGCTACTTATGATTGTCAATCCATGTGGAACGCTTCCTCGTTCGTTTATTCGGAAGACAGGCAAATAGCTATTCCACGCGAATGGTTTTCCGTTCGTATTGGAGCATCGTCGGATTTCCGGCAAAATCTTTTAGCTGCTCATCGAGCATCTCGTGTTATTTCTTCCAAGAAAAACAATGAGAACGCGGATCTCGGCCGATCGAGGCGAGGGGCGGCCATTTTCCGCGATGGCAAGTCGCGCATACGAACATGTTTTGCGAATGCAAGGCCCGTCGTCCGTGGGATTTCAATAACCGTTCCATAAATAGCTCGCGGGATTTCGCGGTCCCTCCGCTCGAAAACTCCACGTTCACCACGTCTCGCCATCGTCTTCCTCATGTCCCTTCCCGCCGAGAGTCCGTCCCTTCCCCCCTTCACGTCCCATTCTGGCAGGGCGCCCATGTAAATGAAAACAAATACTTTCCCTGTGCGCGCCGCTTTTATTGCCTCCTTGATGCATGCCTTTATAAGCGGAACGAATGGTTATTACTCGACCAACTAGGTCTATACATACACAGTGCGCATTTATATAGCAAATCCGCGCTAGCTTCATCACGATGCGTTCGCGATTTTGTTGCCCCATGTCAAAGTGGATCGCGAATGAATAATTATGAATATTTTTTTCATCGTATTTTGTGCAAAAATACCTTTTAAAAATATAGTACTAACAGACCAAAATAACGTATTTTTTATTAAAGTGAGAAATTTTATTATAAAATAATGGCATTTTTAATTTTGATATTAAAATTAAGAAATTTATAACAATAAGTGGTGTTAATTAACTTCTGAAAGATTGACAGAGGTATATGTTTTTAGTATTCCTGTTAATATCAAATATTAATACTATCTTGAATATAATAATTCAAATAGTGACGTAGTAATTTTTTGAACTGATCCCAAGAAGAAGTGGGTCGAATTAATATCGAAGTACCGAATAAAATTTTATTAGGAAATATGCGGAGCAGCGTAAGATATGGGCTATGGGTTCGTGGATGCCCTCCGCAGGCTTCCCTCAATTTTCCTGTAGTTTTATGTACTTCCCGGTACATTAGACTTAATGGCTTTCTTCAATCGAAATTTTCGAGTTATAAGTGAGACTTCTGGTGTCGGCACGATATGAAATCTCATCGCGAAATAGTGCCTCTCTTTCTCCGGTTATTTCCGTAGGTTGATAACTGATTGTACCGTTCTGTTTATTATTTGCTTTGTCAAAGCGATCATGCCAGACTGACCTCGGATGTCAAAGCCTTTAACCTCAAACAATCCTCTTTAGTTGCTGCAGTGTTTGATGTTTGATTCCTAACAGTTAGCTGATTCGATACATGTACTTTGAGAATTTCTGATTCTAAATTCTAATTAAACATACATAATGAAAAGCAGAATTTTTTACATTACAAAGATTTTTAATATTTTGATAATTAAATATCAGAAAATTCTGTTACAATAATTTCTATTAAAATATGTATGATAAGGCTAGATGTTAGCAAGCTTTATTTTGCAAAAGTTACCGTCAAGAGACACGGTAGTGTCTCGGATGTCAAATCAACCGAGAATAATATCTTATGTTTTAATTTTTTTATTGACTTTATTAGAGATATATTATCAAAGAAAACACATCCTGTTTCACATTTCTTCTTAAAGTTCAAATTTATAAAGGATTAATATATTAGTCTATTTCTTTAATATGCACGGTTTAATTAACTCTGCGATAAAGCTTCCCTAATAAATCTAAGAAAAGACTATCTGGAAGCTCGCGTGATACCCGTTGTATATGTTCATTTAGTAAATTATATGTTTCTTCTTCGTACATACAATAGGCATTTGGCAATTCCAAATCGATGAAGAGCTGCTTCACACGTCTCACTTTCTCCGGATACCGAAGAGCCATAACATTCCTACGTGACAAGAGAAGAAATAATAAAAAAGGATTAAAATATATAATAACGTTAATAGAACAATATATTTATAAAGGTTACTCACTTCCAAAATTTTACGTTGCTCTAGAGTAGCGCGATCGAGAGTTGTAACAATTAGCCACGTACATTTTCCTTTCTGTATATCAGTGTTATCTTTGCCAAAAACTTTGGGATTTCCAAAACAAGCCAAATAATCATCTTGGACTTGGAACAAGTGTCCCATCTTTAACAAGATGATTTTTGCTTGCTTGAATATCTCTGGATCTTTTATTCCAGCCTATATTTAACATGTAATTATCATTATTAAAATATTTATATATTTTCATGTGCAAGAAAACTTAGGTATACTTACAAAATGCATTGCTGCAGTCACTGGTAAGATAAATGAATAATTGGATGTTTTGTATTTAACAATTTTATTGTAGTGATCCATCGTAAATAAATCCAGATTGGGCTTCTTGTAGAAATTAGTAGAAATGAAATCTGTCAATTGACTTTCTATTGTTTTTCGCATTATCTATTAAAATATTGTATACATAATCGCTCGATTAAAAGAAAAAAAGAGATAAGCTAGTATTTACAAACATGTTAAGAAGATATCTTCACTCACATCCTGGAATGTTTCTTCTAGGTCAATATAGCATTCTTTTTCTCTAAAATGCTCTCGAATTAGAAAATTTAAACAACATTCTATTATTAAACCATTGTATATTACCGCTGTAAAGAAATCTTTGTCTCGATACAAACGTGGCAGGCTTCTACGTAATAATGATCGGTATTGTATATCATCAAAAAGAAATAAATAAGCTTGGAACTGTATAAAAGTAATATCTTAATATTATAAAGTACAATGACATTTAATTCTAAATAATTTATCATACTGTATGCTTTGATTTAAATAGGTATAATAAATTAAGATATTGTTTTGTATTTCGGTCTAGTTTATGAAAGATATTAGCATTAAAAAAAAAAATCACGTACCAGTTTCACGCACCATCCTAAAATCCGTGCCAGACGAATATTATCTTCCGTAAGTTGATTATTCGATGCCAGTAACCTGTAGGCATAAACTACGGTTAAACCTCGAGTTTTTTCTCCTCTTCGTACATCATATTGTAATACCTAAACGAAAGAGATATTTTTGTATTCATAAAAATTTATTGATTTGATTTATTATATAGTATTTTAATCAATAGCGACTTACTTCTGCCATAGATTTTCGAACATTTCGAGGTGCATTTAAAGTATTAACTGCATCTGCGAATTTGCGGACAACGTCCGGCCATAAAACCATCATTTCTCGATATTCATCCTTGTTTGTTACCCATGGTTGTGTTACGGAATGAGTCATTCGTACATTGTGGTCCAATAATCTAAAAATTTAATGAACTTCAATTAGAAATTACAATGTGACAATATTGAGATACTGTTCACGAATGGACAAATAAAATCGCTAAAAAATTTCTAAAAATATTTGGAGTATAAAAGCATTCTCAATTGTAAACTTTATTCAAACGAAGAACTCAATGAAAACTTAACAATCTAATTAATCTTGAAAGTGTGTTTATAAATAGATATGTGGAAAATTTGATCGGCCAGAAAATTTTTAATCAGATAATAAAGTTATTTTCACCGATTTGAAAATCTAAGTTTTCTTTCGGAATCGTTCGATCCGTCTTTATAAATCGTTCAAGAACGATCTCGTTCATCCTCGCACATTTGTTGATATTACCGTTCCAAATTTGCGTGCCATGAAAAGTCAACAAGGGATTCAGCGCGTGTTTGTAAAACACGCTTTCCACTCTTACAATTAGTACGGAACATATTTTCTTGCCCGACAGAATAGAAAAAAAGAAAACACTCATCGGATTATACAAATCATTTTGTCGTTCGCATGACAACTATGTATGAAGGAAAGGCTAATGATATAGCGTTGATCGAGATTCATTTTATTAGATTTGGTCTGAAAAACATTGCGTCACACGTTTTCTTGCGAGATATTTTTAAAATCGAAGATGATTCTAAAGCAGAAATTAATCTTTAATCAAAATAAAATATGTTCCAATGTTCTAATGTTAATACAGAGACGTATATTAACTTTAATACCGGTTTTACTTTTTATTTTTCTTTAATTCTAAGAATTAGAAACGAATAAAAAATAAATTTGTTGACACCAGATAGTTTTTGCATGTTCCGATGATTCAGACAAACACATCTCGCTCGGCTCAGGACTCATACGCGTATAAGAATTTGATCGGTCCTTTTTCTGTATAAAGATTATTGACAGAACAGCACTACTTCGTGATTTTCGTTAAGTTTAACCGTTCTCTTTTTCACCGATTAAAGAGAACACTCTCAAAGAAGATCTTTATTGCTACAAATTTTATTTTATCAAAGAAATTAAAGATATTTCTAAATCGCGTGCTCGATCAATCGGAAGACGCTTCTATGGTCTATGATGTGATCTTGCATTCTTACCTCCAGCACGCTGTATTCCCGCGGCGCACATCCGCGCCTGCAACGTGGTGCGCGTGGTCGGCGCCGATGGCGAGACGTCGCGCGGCGCCGAGTGTCAACAGGAATCGGTTTCTCGTGGCGAACATGCCCGGGTTCCGGAGCACACTCGTGTAACCCGCGGAAGACTATTCACATGCGCGCGCGCGAGCGACGAGGGGAACACTGCCTCCCGGCCCGAAATTTACAGGAATAATTACGAGGAAAATTACGAGGAAACGCGCTCGACGAGAGCGGATGGATTGACGTAAGTCGAGCGATTAGAATAGGAACAATCGTCGATTCGTACCTTGACTTCAAGTGTCGTGTGATCGCGTCACTCTTACTCTAGCACGCTGGAGGCCCGGCTGCCCGACTTTATACGGCCTGCCTTGGCGCGGCGGAACTATTAAGCCTGAGACACAATGAAAAGATACAAGAAACAGCAACAGGCATAGATTTCGATCAATCAGAAGCTGTGAAGAATATCGGAGATATTTCTAATTGGTCGAAATTTGTTGACTGTTCCCTATTCCCTGTTCCTGTTGCCTGTGTATTTCATTGTGCATCCAGCTTTATATACATTGCTGATTATGGACCAAAGACTCATATGATTGGCACGTCTCTACGTGAAAGTTGTCATTTATAATTAGTGATAAGGGGAGAGGAGGGGAATCTTGGCCGGCACTTCGGTCAAGTTCGACCGCGCGGATGTGTCCGTAATCTTAATATTTTGGGTATATGCGGGATGAAATGTCAGAAGGAATTAGAAGAAATAATATTCGTAAAGTCCGATTACTTAGAGTATCTTTTATTCTCGATTTCGATACACGTCTATTCGCGGTGTCCGTCGGACAATACAAAAAGACATCATTACAATTATAGAAAATGAGTCTATTCTGTTGTTTTTGTATTCTATTCTGATATCGGATATAAATACATGCAACGTATATATTTACGAATTTAGTGCGATTCTCTCAGAATAGTTATTTCGGCAAAATTCAAATATTGCCGCTTGAAAAAATGTGGCCGTGAGAGTTGTGGCGATATAATCCACAATATAAATAAAACCAGCGATTCTCAAGCTGAAGTGAGACCTTATTCTGAAAATTGAGGGAATGCTGAATTATAACGCTGCTGTTTGCTTTTATTGTGATGTATTATTGATATGTATTAATATGATGTATTTTACTATTTTTTTTTTAATATCACCGAAAAGACTATCAAAAAACCGACAATCTCATGGGAATTCATATATTAAAATTTAAACAATTATCCTATAATATCGATTGGTTCTTTGATCTATTATTATTTTGATGCTTCTTAGAAATATATATGCACATTTATAATTTGATATTTAATTTTATTTAAAAACTGCATTTTACAATTATCATCTGTATAATATCTATACAAGAGAATATGTAGTATAGTCGAAATACCACGGTATGACGATTTTTTATTTCACCTATATAACAATTTATTAGGAAAACGGGTAAATCTTTCTTTAAATATATTTCTTCTGCCTTAAAACAGGATCTAGGATAACGCCGCTCGTTTCGAATCGTTCGAGCCGAACTATATTCGCCGAGTATTCGTATAAACACAGGATACTTGGAAGAACTAAAGCGCAGAAGAAACACGGCCGACATTTGTATGCCGTGGCTGGCGAGCATATTTAGTGCATTGTTCTATTTCTCAAAGCCTCCTTCCTCGTAAAGTAATGTAATACGGACGCTTGTCGAGAGGCATGCGGCCTAGCTTGAATAAGGATGAGAGGGGGTGAGTTACGGTCGTGTACATTATATCCTCGGCGGTTGCGAGAAGGTTTGAAGACACCTTGGGGCACCTTAGACCGTAGAATTGTGCGCTATTGCTAGTACTATTGCTGCATCGTTGTCGCGGTTAAGAAATAACGCAAAGCTGCCGTCAAGTTCGCTATGTAATTGCGTCATGTACGAGTGTGGCTCTTGTCATAAAGAACCACACTCAAACCATCGTACGCATATTAACTAACTGATATATTTCGGAAGTCAAAATGACTTTCTACTGTATAACGATCGATCTTGATTTTTATATACATGAATATTAAATATACATTTCTGACTGAATTAAATTATTGAAACGTTTACTTCAATTCACCGGATTTAATTACACGAAAACATGCAGAAAAGAAATGAAATTTTTCCGACACATAAAGCTATTGGCTGTGAATACAAGATTGCACATGTATATATATATTTATTGTCTGAAAAACATACATGAAGGTATACGAAAAATAAATATCTATGTAATAATAGGACGTAGACATTCCACTGTTTTTCATAAATATTCCATGATGGCAGTATAATATGAGTACAAGGAAGAAAACCGCAATTTGTTGGAATTTTTCGGTAAATTTCTGTCAGGCATTCCTTCTTTGTTTCACACCGTTCATAGTCACAGGCTTTTGTTTTATGGATCAACCGCAGATGTTTCCGCTCTAAAAACCAAATAAAAAATGGTGACATTTAATGCTTTTGTCTTTGATAAATTTTTATTTGACAGAGTGCAGATATCTATACCAAGAGTGTCGAATTATTTTTCTCTATATATCAGAGAAAAGTCTCGTTCGATGGCTTGTTTTTTGTTTTTATTTTGATATAGATACAACATTTAATTAACAATAATAAAAAGTACTTTTCAATTAAATGAAAACTAATCCATACTTTTCTCCAAAATCCAGATTAAATTAACAAAAAATGATAAAATTGAACATTTATATAATAGTACTTAAATCAATCAATTATATTTACTATATTATAATAACTATTACTATATAAATCGAGATATCAATAAAGAAAAATTTTTTAAATAATTTTTATTTATATATTAATTTAAGAAGATAATTTTTTATTTTATTATTAAATTTATCTGTAAAATTCTTTATATTGTGCCTTATCACATATTATATTACCGTACATTAAGATTGCTATTTGCGTTGACATCAACGTGATACATTTACTGTCTGAGTTCTCGGAGACTGAAATTTAATATTACGTATCCTTCGTATACTTTATACTTACTTCTTGTTAGTAAATGATTGGAACAGGAGTATCCGTTAGCCTCTGTGACTTTTACCACTATATATAAAAAAACTCTGAGCAGCTTGCTACACTCTCTGTTTTCTCTCTTTTTGTCGTTAATTCTATATTTTGACATAAGATATCAGAACATATGAAAAAAATAGAACAAATGTGCACATAAAAATGAAGTAGAACGTAAATAATAAGGCGTATTTGATTTTATCAGAAGTTGCTTAGAGGTAGAAGAAGTAGAAGAAGTTGCTTTTCGTATATAGATAAAATATAAAAAGAAAAAAATTTTATAATAGTATGGAAATAGTGAATATCACATAGTGAGTCTCACGGTTTGCTATTCTTGTATAATTTACGTCAGATATTAAATTTGCGTTACGTTTCACGCATAAATTCATTTTTCCCTGCCCATTAAATGAATCGGTGTTCCGCTGATTTTTTTCTTGGTCTTGCTTTAAAACCTTTGTCGCCACTATATATCTCATTCCGAACGTACGAATTAATCGATTAAATAAACTATAGGAAATAGAGAAAATTTGAGACCTACGCACTATCGGCGCCCTGACGTGTTTCCCCTTCCACGCAACTTCTCCCTTTCGTCGTTCTCTTCCCTTTTTTTCTCTATTTTCCTCGAACCCGTTTTTAATATTGCTCCACCCTGAGTTCGTTTATACATATGTATGAAGAGATTTTAATGTTCTTCCGACGTGCGGGCCGACGCGGCACACCAACATTATTGTACCTAACGCGCTTCGGTCTGATGCATGTGGTGCACGATTGTCCTCTCTTCCGAAGGTCCCTCAAGTACTCCTATATATCCCCCATACTTGACTACCGGTCCCCTCAATCTTATTATGCGTACGAACATAGATTGAAAACTGATCTCTTGACGGAACTGATGGCGAAGCTGTTACTCTCTGAATAATTAATGAATGATGCTTTATGTATTATCTGAAGAATTGATACAATATAAATTAAAAAAAAAGATTGAAGGGACAACGATATCTCGATAGATACGAATACATTTGTTTATAATTTTGTGTTGTTTATTATATTGTATACATTATTTTGTAATATTGTACCTCATAATACTGCTTCATAAATTTGTTATAATTTGATAAATTTACGTAAGCACATAATGCAGAGAGCTGGCTTTCACATCTCGAATTTATGCTTTTCTACTATTTTACTGCCTGGTAAACTTCTGCGTGTGAAATAATTATTGATTTGATTAATTTAAAAGTTAAATTTATTACGAGTTACACAGTTTTATGTTTTATTCATTTCTTTGTTTTCATAATTTCTTCCGCATTATTTCCGCATATTTTTTTGATATCATAATTAGACAGGAGAAATTAATAAAATAAAGGTGGCATTAGTAACTTTGCTGTATTGTTGGTTTTAATGCAATGGCCATCCATGTGCGCAGCCAGATCGTAACTTAATCTATCCCCGCGTGCGTCGGCTCGTTAGGTTAGGTAAGTTAGGCTCGTTAAAGTGTAATCTATTGTGGAGGTGCGCAGGAGAGAGAAGTGGGAAAATGCATTCCCCAGACGAAGTTTCGACTGTGGGAGTACGCGCGTAAGCTGCCGTTGCCGGTGCCGGTGCGAATAGGCGCGCAGTAAAGGTACGGATTTATAGGACGGTTAAGCGATGTCACGCGCCATGTGATTTATGCAGCGGCGTAAGTCGTCGGGTATTATGTAATTAGCGGTAAATCTGGTAATGCTCGGCACGGCAGCAGCCGAGCACGGCAGCGCGGTCGCTCCAATTCCTGAGCCGCGAACCAATCGCGTTAATGCCGTATGCGGCACTGCGCAGCATCCAGCGCTGTGCACTTTCGTACCACCGCGGTTCGCCCACCGAAGATATTTAAGTGGTTAACCGGCTAACTGGTTTGATCCCAAATCACCCACGCGCGTCGCCGAT